AAATCAAAGTGAGAGAAGTTTTCCCCCTCATTCGCTCACTTGGTCACAATCCTATTGAGGCTGCAGTGTGGTGCTACTTAAACGAACTTGACCTAGCAGGTCAGCTGGAACAGTTTATCTATGGCCCGCCCTTCCCTTGCGATTTGTGGGTATGGGTGGGGATAGGGGGTGGCGGTGGGGTATTTTTTCTTCCTCTCTCCTAGACTTTGCAAATAAAAAACAGGCTAAAAAAGAATAAAACGAAAGCAATTATTGGCCCACAAATCTACAAAACAGTCCGATCTGTAGATCTCCAACAGTTTTGAGATGACGGATATTCGCCGTATCCGCTTTAAATTGTTCTTTGTCCTTTTTTTTCAATTGAAGGAAAAAGAAAAATAACTTTTGTGGAGTTCATAAGAGTTATGGAGTCTTTGATAACAGATGAAGAACGCGAGGAAAATGGTTGCATTGACGTTGTCCGGGTTTTTGACTCGGATCAACGAGGTTATATTAGCTTGAACGAACTACAAGTGGCATTAAGCAGCATGCCGGGAAGTGCGCAGATGAAAGAATTTGAGTTGCGAGATATTTTACAAGAAGCTGATCCTGATGGAGACGGCAAAGTTAAAATTCAGGGTGAGTGGATTAGCCTTATGATAAAGGAAAACGTTAAACGTCAAACGGTATAAGCTCGTGATTATTTTCTCGGTATGGCCAGCTTCATGTGCGCATTGCCACATCACCCTGGAAGAGGATGACGTCATACGTGAGTAAATCTCTTAGTTCGTCGTGTAAAACACAACGGGGCCCCCGCGAGAAATGGTGTTAAATTGAACCACAAAGCAAGCAACTTTCGTTACGCACAATTTTCCAGTATAAAAGAAGAAAATGCTTAGAAACAAATAGAATATTAATTATTGCCTATCTTTTTCCTTGTCAGATTTCCAGCGACTTGTTGACCGTCAATGATAATAGTTAGGATCAAGCAAAACTAATTTACAACAACGTGTTTGTATTGTATGGATAATAAGAGCTGAGAGCATTAACTTATCAAGTAAAATTCCTTGCCTTGTCAACCATTGGTTGACTCCACGACTACAGTGCTACGCGGCAAGACCGCAAGGTTATTTGGGTAGCTTTAAATCCTATATATTTCTAGCCTGCGAAAACATCCGTTTGTCCTCGCTCTTCGCCGCTGGGGACGTTTCGCGCGGAGGAACAAACGTCCCCAGCGGCGAAGAGCGAGGACAAACGGATGTTTTCGCAGGCTAATATATTTCGGTCCTTAATTCGTGGTCTTTAGTGCATAAGATGAGCTCAAGAAACCTTGTGATTTTACGACGAAGGGCTCGCTTCATCACTGAGTTTTGCTAAGGCCCAATTGGCTAGAACCCAAATTCCTGTGCGGTCTTGTCACGAAGGCCAGTACTGCCGGCAAAGTTAATTGTAATACAGCTGCATACTATACCACAGGAAAGTACCACTCAGAAGCTTTCATTTGAAAGATTACAACACAGGGTTTCTTTCACAGACTCAAACTGAGAAGGCAACTACCTTGCACAGCATCATAAAATACTCTAGAGGACCGTCAGCTTTCAGGTAGCTTTTATCTTAACGATCATCATTGTGGATCATCTGTCTTCCCACAGTTAATACTTGTTTACATTGCCCACTACAGTCAATCATTAATTAGGTTAGCAATAATTTATAACGAAATATTAAAATGCATCAGAAATTGGGACGTTTTAGGCTAAACTGACTTGTGCGCGTCCAGCCAGGTGGACGCGAGTTTTGATATCTAACGATATCGGACCTCAAGAATTTCCTTATCAGCAATTCTATAATCGATAGTCATCCGTTTGTTCTGTTCAATGCTCTCTTCTAACATCCGTGTTATTTCGCGGTTGTTGTGACCCAGGGGTATCTTGAGATTTTGAAAAATTTCAATCCCCGTATAGACATTCACCACATGTCGTTCCCAGGCTACGCTCCAGTGAATTCCGGGCGTCATCACCACACCTCGGATCTCCATGATCTCAGCTTCTTCATCATCATCGTCATCTTCCTCTTCCGTGGCCTGGTCTTTCCTCTCTTCACTCTTGCTCATGTTAGTAGTATCACTTTACCGTGTTTTCCTATGATTAAACACAACCTTGTTTCCAGAAAAATCCTGGGAACCCTAGAAATGAGGTTGTGGTTAAAAAGACTTAAGCTACTTTCAGATTGCCCATAAAACAAATTATTCCTCTCTTCCGCACCCCGAAAAAAATTAAATACCCTTTACATTGTACTTCTAATTTCTTCTGGGAATTGAAAGCAAAAAAGCAATACTTATGCATTTTTTTTTTGGGGGGGGGGGGGGGGAGAGGAGCGATTATTTGCGAACGAATGAAATGAGTGAGTGAATGAAATGAGTGAACAAGAGGAGCGATTATTTGCGAGATGAGTTAGAAATAAAAGTGAGTGAGTGGGATGGCATCATTTACTAACTACTAGCATTCTGCCTTAAAAGAGGGCATGGTGTTAACGTTAGGGGGTCAGGAAAGGGAAGGTGGGGAGTTTTCCTGAATCTTAACCTCATAAACAAAATGCAGATTGATGGATGTTGCGCACGATTGAGAAACTCGGATATCAAGGAGTTGATAGCTCGTTAATGAATCTTCGAAATTTTATAGCGTTTATATACCTTTTACCTTACTTTTGAAGTAATTTTTATAACCATATTTATTTTTATGCAAATAAAATTATTTTTTTGAAGGCACGGTGGAGCAACTTTTCTCGACAATTCGCTTTTTGTGAGACGGGAGTCATTCCCCTTAGCTTATAAACAGACGTCCCATTCAGAACTCGTTGAAATTACCAGCCTCTTTATAGTAGTGCCCTTATCAATGTTATGCCGGCAGGAGGGGGGAGGGGAAGGGCATGGAGTGGGGATTTGACTGATTTTGTTCTCCCAGGAGAGGGGATATTTGAATCTTTCTTCGCCCGACGTGGAGATATTTGACTGCCGACTCGGACGAAAAAAACTGAGACCGAACATATGTTTCCCACTTCACGCTTCACACATGCGCCGTACGGTCTGGAAAGATTAGGAAATCATGGAGGCCAACGAGAACAAGCGAAAGCTGAGTGTATTTCACTGTTTTGTCTTCAAATTTCGTTGCTTTTAGCGTGTTTTTGATCAACTGAACCTCTTAAGATACTGTGGTATCAAAGTAAACGGAAGTAAAGAGAAACCAAGTCGATTTTTGCAAGTACAATTGATCAGTGTATGGCTCATTCGCTACAAATCACTGTAAGATTATAAAATTGACTTTCTTTATACCCTTTACTAAGAACGGTATATTCAAACTTACAAAATGTGGACTTTCTCCGAAAGGTTTCTGTATTCTACGCAATGTAACAAGGATTATGGTTAAAACGTATAATTGCAGCTGTAACAGGAACATGTATCTTCGGTGATGCAGCAACGTAATATAGATAACGATTGCAGAGTTTTATTTGGAGATATTTTTATTGTGCCTTTCTTGGGTTCTGCTTTGGGATATTTGACAGCAATAAGCAGCCAGGGGTGGGGAAATTTGGTTTATAATTGACTGGAATGATTTGCCCGTGGGCAGGGAATTTGACTGCAAATGCCTATGCCCTCCCCCCCCCCCGCCGGTTTTACATTGATAGGCGCATAAATGTTTCTCCAGTGTAAACATTCCAATGTTTTTGCTCGTTGTCTGGAAGCTTCAAAGTAAAGAGTTTTGGATCATGGTAAGTGAAAAACATCGAAAATCTAAAACACTTCAGTCCCTAACACAAAGCCCCAACTCGCATTGGAATCGCTAAATTAAGAACAGCTTCCTACTGCTGTGTATTCGTGAAGATGCGTTAGTACTGAATTCCGTTCCATGCCTGAACCAACAGCTCTGCATTGCGTATAATTGTTTAAATTCACGTAGTTTTATGCCATCACCATAAAGCCACACTCGCTTTTATCCTTGGCGTATTGTAATGAGCCGTTATACTTGGGGAAAAAAAGGTGTACGTCAACCCACGTACAGCGCACCTCTCCATAGGTCATTGCGTGCGTATCAGTTGCTTTGCTTTGTAGACTTTGTATTCATGAAACCTGACAGAGTTGCTAGACGTTTTGGATCCCAATTTCGCCACTTCATAAAAGTTTATTTTAAAAAATTGGTTGGGAAGGTAATTTTTTCTATAACCAACCCAGTCTTTCGAACTCATTCAAAAAAGGGAAAATAGAATCCGTAGTTTAATGGACTACACGGCCAAAATCCCGGGGGGTACTCCCTTATATAAGCTATATAGGTATGTGTTGCCCCATCGGTTAGGGTTTTTTCGCCTTTTTGATCTGAAAACAGGTATAGATTTTGCCCATTTTGGTCTGGAATGGGGGATCGTTTTTGAGGGAACTACGGGAGTGTGTGAACGTATTTTATTTTATCGCTTCAATTCCAAATGAGTAAGAAAGAAAGAGAAATATGCGAATTCTAAATGGATTTGAAGAATTTTTTTGTTTCCGCTCTAATCTTAGTAATAATGACATAATTTCTGCCTTTATACTAACGTGAGAAATTTCTGCAATTTGATTGGCTTAGAGCAGTGGTAGTTTAACTTAATTTGAAATACCTACATGTGAAAATTACAAGGATAGGATAAACAAATAATAGCATTATTTGTTCGGGATATTTGGCATAAATACCACGACTGTTATTTCAAAATTGTCTCAAATTTCACTCGCCTAACGGCTCGTGAAATTACGTATAACAATTTTGAAATATTCCGCCGTGGTATTTATGCCAAATATCACTACAAATCATGCTATTACCTATACGAAGGCCAGGTCTGAAAACGGGTAAGGATTTTAGAGGTCTGGTCTGAAAACGGGTGTGGAAAATGACATTTTCTGGTCTGAAATACGGTCAGGATTTGAAGAACCGGGCGCCACACTCCCACCAAGAATTCCCAGGAGTACCCACCCCGGGGACAAAATGTGGTGCCCGTCTACTTTTCACCAATTGTTGTTTCATTAATTAATGCCTGTGTTTCTTATCCTGTGTAAATTTGACGGAAAAGGGGTGAAGATCACACACAGTTAACATGACCCAGAAAAGAGCCTTTTTGAAATATAAGGATGGGTGGAATAAAGCATGCCTGTTCTCTACCATCTAATTGCTTCTTTGCATATGAGTTCTTGTACCCACGACTTGACCGAATGAACCCATGTAAGGGAATGCAAGACAGTCTTGAATTCTGGATTCCACGCCATGAATTCCGGAATTATGGATACTGGATTCGAGGTCGTTGTCAGTGGAACTTGGATTCGGATTATAATCGTTAACAGGATTCTGGATTCCTTAAGCTAAATTCCGGATTCCAAAGTCGTGGATTCAGTATTCCACAGGCAAAACTTTCCCAGATTCCTGATGCCAAAAGGAAAAATTTCCTGGATTCCAGAATCCGGATTCCCTTACGTACATGGAGGGAAGCTATAGCAAACCCTGCCATTGATTGGCGTGTCAATTAATAGAAATTACTAGCGACTTGATTTTCTTACCTAATTTTCTCCGATAATATTCTTTTATTTATACTGATTATAGTTCAAACCAATTCCTGAAGGCACAAAATATGCAAAAATTGCCGCAGAGCAAGAATATTTTGCAGACTAATAACCCAAGCAACAATATTACTCTGAACAAGCAACTGGACCCAAAAGGCCAACCGTTGAATGTTGTTACCCGCGGACTTTTTCGACAGCTGTCTTCCATCAAAAAGCTCCTCCCTTCATTTAAGAAAGAATCTGATTACTTGACAGTGGCACTTCCCAAACGGCTTGAAGGTAATTAGATGATCATATTTACTCATTTCTTAGTTTTAGAGTCTAAGTAAAAGCAAGAATTTATGTGTAATACAGTAACCATTCGTCCCATGCAAGTTAATCCAAATCTGGTTTTCACGGTGTAGATTAGGAATTGCAGGTCTTGGATTCTGGATTCATTACCAGTGGAACTTGGATTGGCCGGATTACAGTTGTTAGCAGAATTCCAGGTTCCTTGAGCTGAATTCCTGATATCCATAGCCCAGGATTCAGGATTCCACAAGCAAAAATTTGCCGGATCCTGAAATGCGGATTGCCTTACACTGCATGAGGCACACAATAAACAATACACACTCGTAATCGTGATTTTCAACAACAATTTTATTCCTTTAAGCATTGTGGGTAATGACAGCTTCCTTAGAGGGTACTCTCTATAATACACCATGGTCTTTTGGTAAAGCAAATGATTTTGTTTGTCCATTGGCAGATCATGCAGCAGATCTGGGTTTCACTTTACACGGAGGAAACGATAACCCTTGCCTTCCTGGTGATCCGGGAATTTTTATCAAGCACGTGGTATCTGGGAGTTCTGCAGATAGCATGCTGAGGCCTGGGGATAGAGTATTGTCAGTAAGTTCAAACTCTGTTTAACGCGCTAATTATGTGACTTCAGGAGAGACGTTGCCTCGAAAAATACTCCTGGAATAGATAGTTGTCAGAAACTTAAATGGAACTAACCCCCTCTTTCGCAATTCCAACGGTTTTAACTGATCCTTTAAAATCCGAGTAAAATTACTTAGAATGAAACAACAAAGATATTGCTACAAGAGAGGTTAGAAGTAGTTTTATATAAACAAATCAAGATTACCAACAAGATCAAGAGCTCGTCTCAGTAACCTGTACAACCTTTAAATGAGATTTCGTCTTCAAACTAATTTAGATCTACGTTGTGAGCAAAATTTTATTACTAAAAAAATCTGTTATGCTGGTAAACTAAAGCCACCCTCTTAACTAAATTCAGGGATGTTTCTCTTTGTTTTCTGTAGATAAACGGAATTAACGTCAGTAACGTTCCAGTGAAATATGCACGTCAAACAGTGAGAAAAGCCAAAAATGTTGTGAGACTTGAAATCAAGAAAGCACCAAAAAGACAGGTGAGGCCGATTTTAAACCGCTTAGAACACTGCTCCTGTTTGTAACGATCAATGTTCACGCCTAGGCAGAGTTGTTCGAATCCCCGTCAGCGATTATGCTGGATCAACTACGAACAGGACATA